GTTGATTTTTGGTAGCCATTTGTTGGACCATTCATTCAGTCTGTCTAGGTCATCTTGTAGCCTCCTACTATCCTCCTCTGTTTTAATCCTCCTCATAATTTTTGCATCATCAGCAAACAATGAGAGGAACGATTCTATACCCTCTGGGAGATCATTTACATATATCAGAAACAGTATAGGTCCAAGGACTGAACCCTGCGTGACTCCACTGGTGACGTCTCGCCAATCTGAGACCTCACCCCTCACAGTGACTCGCTGTCTTTTGTTGCTTTGGTACCCACTTATCCAATGAGTACCTTTCCTTTCACTCCTGCCTGCATCTCCAGCTTTTTCACTAGCCTGTTGTGAGGTACTGTGTCAAAGGCTTTCTGGCAATCCAAAAATATGCAGTCTGCCCACCCCTCTCTTTCTTGCCTGATTTTTGTTGCCTGGTCATAGAATTCAATTAATCCTCTGAGGCATGACTTGCCATCCCTGAAACCATGTTGGTGTTGTGTCACAAAGTTCCTTCGCTCCAGATGTTCCACTAGCTTTTTTCGCACAATCTTCTCCACTAATTTGCATGGTATGCAAGTTAGGGACACTGGCTTGTAGTTCAGTGCCTCCTGTCTATTCCCCTTCTTGTATATCGGGACTACGTTAGACGTCTTCCAAATTTTTGGCAGTTCACCTGTTACCAGTGATTTGGTATATACTATGAAGAGTGGCAGGCACAATGCTTCTGCTCCTTCCTTTAGTATCCAAGGGAAGATTCCATCTGGGCCTATAGCCTTTGTCACATTCAACTCTAGCAAAAGCTTCCTTACATCCCCACTGGTAATCTCAAATTCTTCTAGTGGTTCCTGGTTAACTATTCCCTCTCTTATATCTGGAACTTCTCCTTGCTCTAATGTAAAGACCTCCTGGAACTTCTTATTCAGTTCCTCGCACACTTCGTTGTAGTGAGTTTGTCTGCTTCTATCCTCAATTTCATTACCTGTTCCTTTACTGTTGTTTTTCTCCTGATGTGGCTGTGCAGCAATTTAGGCTGAGCCTTGCTTGCGATGTCATTTTCGTATTGCCTTTCTGCCTCTCTTTTCAACCTGATATATTCATTCCTGGCACTCTGGTATCTTTTTCTGCTCTCAAGTGTCTTGTTATTGCTATAGTTTCTCCACACCCTCTTACTTTGCTGCTTAGCTAGCCTACATCTCTGATTAAACCATGTTTTTCTCATCTGCATTTCGTTGTTTTCCTTTCGGACCGGGACAAACTTGTCTGCTGCCTCCTTACACTTCTGCGTGATGTAGTTCATCATGTCTTGGACCGTCTTTGCCCTGAGCTCTGATTCCCATGTTATCTCTGTTAGGAATTTTCTTATCTACTCATAGTTTCCCTTTCGGAATGCCAGACTTTTGTTTTCAGTTCCTCTCCTCAAGTTCATTAACCCTTCTTCAACCAGATACTCAAATGTCAGTACATTGTGGTCGCTCATTCCAACTGGGACCTCGAAACTGATTTCCCTTATGTCGGAATCGTTCAGAGTGAAGGCTAGGTCAAGTCTCGTGTGTGTGTGTGTGTGTGTGTGTGTGTGTGTGTGTGTGTGTGTGTGTACTCACCTAATTGTGCTTGCGGGGGTTGAGCACTGGCTCTGGTCCTGCCTCTCAACTGTCAATCAACTGATGTAAAGGTTCCTGAGCCTATTGGGCTATATCATATCTACACTTGAAACTGTGTATAGAGTCAGCCTCCACCACATCACTTCCTAATGTATTCCATTTGTCAACTACTCTGACACTAAAAAGGTTCTTTCTAATATATCTGTGGCTCATTTGGACACTCAATTTCCACCTGTGTCCCCTAGTGCGTGTGGCCCTTGTGTTAAATAGCCTGTCTTTATCTACCCTATCAATTCCTTTGAGACTCTTGTATTTGGTGATCATGTCCCCCCTAACTCTTCCGTCTCCCAGTCACGTGAGGTTTAATTCCCGTAGTCTCTCCTTGTAGCTCATACCCCTCAGTTCGGGTACTAGTCTGGTGGCAAACCTCTGAACTTTTTCCAGTTTAGTCTTATGCTTGACTAGATTTCGCAGCCCGAAACGCTGCGCGTACTAGTGGCTTTACAAGAATGTAATTACTGTACTATCCAATGTATTCTCACAAACCCAATGTACCTTCTTGTATATATATAAATAAAATAAAATAAAATAAAATAAAATAGATATGGACTCCATGCTGGAGCTGGATACTCCAGGATTGGTCTGACATATGTGGTATACAAAGTTCTGAATGATTCCTTACACAAGTTTGTAAAGGCCGTTCTTATGTTGGCCAACCTGGCATATGCCGCTGATGTTATCCTCTTGACATGGGTTTTAGGGGACAGGTCTGGCGAGATATCAACCCCCAGGTCTTTCTCTCCCTCTGACTCTTGAAGAATTTCATCTACCAAATGATACCTTGTATCTGGCCTCCTGCTCCCTACACCTATCTTCATTACATTACATTTGCTTGTGTGTGTGTGAGTGTGCGTATCATTTCGTGTTAAAAATCCACTTTCATAAAAAAATGCTATTTGATCCTTTAGTAACGTTCTGCCAGACATTGCAAAATCAGTATGTTAATAATTATAATTATACAGTTCTGACAATGACTATTGCATGCATACATGATTTCAGTGACGCCATCACTTGCATTAGCATGACAATGGTTGGGGTGAACTGTGAGGAGCGAGCACCAGAACCCCAGAACACCCATGGTATACAGTGTGAGGAAGCCTAGGAACTAAGAACACCGTGCTATACAGTGTGAGGAAGCCTAGGAACTAAGAACACCGTGCTATACAGTGTGAGGAAGCCTAGGAACTAAGAACACCATGCTATACAGTGTGAGGAAGCCTAGGAACTAAGAACACCGTGCTATACAGTGTGAGGAAGCCTAGGAACTAAGAACACCATGCTATACAGTGTGAGGAAGCCTAGGAACTAAGAACACCGTGCAATACAGTGTGAGGAAGCCTAGGAACTAAGAACACCGTGCTATACAGTGTGAGGAAGCCTAGGAACTAAGAACACCGTGGTATACAGCCGTGACGGGGGATGCAGCTCCGGCTACTGCATGAAGTCACCCATAAAAAGCCTAGTGCATGTGTCTTGGTTCCTTGACAGCATCACACTTGAACACTGACTCACACCTTACTCCTGGCTTCATGCAGAGGTGCAAGCCAAGCCAACTTCCAGCCTCAAAAAGTGTACAAGCCAGTCCTGCTGCTAGCCTCAAGCAGGTGTACAAGCCAGCCCTGCTGCTAGCCTCAAGCAGGTGTACAAGCCAGCCCTGCTGCTAGCCTCAAGCAGGTGTACAAGCCAGCCCTGCTGCTAGCCTCAAGCAGGTGTACAAGCCAGCCCTGCTGCTAGCCTCAAGCAGGTGTACAAGCCAGCCCTGCTGCTAGCCTCAAGCAGGTGTACAAGCCAGCCCTGCTGCTAGCCTCAAGCAGGTGTACAAGCCAGCCCTGCTGCTAGCCTCAAGCAGGTGTACAAGCCAGCCCTGCTGCTAGCCTCATGCAGGTGTACAAGCCAGTCCTGCTGCTAGCCTCAAGCAGGTGTACAAGCCAGTCCTGCTGCTAGCCTCAAGCAGGTGTACAAGCCAGTCCTGCTGCTAGCCTCAAGCAGGTGTATAAGCTAGTCCTGCTGCTAGCCTCAAGCAGGTGTACAAGCCAGCCCTGCTGCTAGCCTCAAGCAGGTGTACAAGCCAGCCCTGCTGCTAGCCTCAAGCAGGTGTACAAGCCAGCCCTGCTGCTAGCCTCAAGCAGGTGTGCAAGCCAGCCATGCTGCTAGCCTCAAGCAGGTGTACAAGCCAGTCCTGCTGCTAGCCTCACGCAGGTGTACAAGCCAGTCCTGCTGCTAGCCTCAAGCAGGTGTACAAGCCAGTCCTGCTGCTAGCCTCAAGCAGGTGTACAAGCCAGTCCTGCTGCTAGCCTCAAGCAGGTGTACAAGCCAGTCCTGCTGCTAGCCTCAAGCAGGTGTACAAGCCAGTCCTGCTGCTAGCCAGATATACGTATAAAATTCCAGTTCTCTTACAATGAATATTTTATACAACTGTGAATAAATCAAGGTTTAAAGAAGAACGATAAATAAAAGGTAGGAATAGTGAGTCTTGCCTTGTTCACCTCTGCCTTCACTTATTCAATAATACTCATTATCCAGGTTCGACTTTTCTTACACAACTTTGTCGTTACTTAGTCAATCAGAATGCTGATCATCGCAGTTCAACATTTCTTAAGGCTATTATATACACCTGTTAAACACCAATGGTCTTATAGCAAATACAGGGTTAAAGAGTCCAAATACGCTAGTGAGTTCAGTGTTGATGCAGGACCCTTCAGCAGCGGCCAACCAGCAAGACACAGGCAGGACCATCCAGCAGGAGCCAGGTAGGACCCCCTTCAACAGGAACCAAACAGAACCCTCCAGTAGGAACCAAGTAGGACCCCCTCAACAGGAGCTAAGCAGGACCCTTCCAACAGGAACCAAACAGAACTCCTCCAACAGGAACCAAACAGAACCCCTCCAACAGGAACCAAACAGAACCCCTCCAACAGGAACCAAGCAGGACCCTCCAACAGGAACCAAGCAGGACCCTCCAACAGGAACCAAACAGAACCCCTCCAACAGGAACCAAGCAGGACCCTCCAACAGGAACCAAACAGTTGATCCTCACCAAATGGTCTGTTAGGTCTATGGTGCAAGTTTCTGAAAGCCTTTATTATGTAAAACCAAATAAGAGAAAATGTTAAATGTGTGGAAGGTGAAAGGTGTACAACACAAGCAGAAGCTGGCAGAAATTATTGAGCATAATTGCGAACTCCGAGATTTCGGCAATAAAACATGTACGAGGTCAGCTCGACAGTACCAGCGAAAGTAGACGGTGGCGGCGGCCAGCGGGGGAGGGATCCGGGTAAGGGGTCCTGGCTCTTGTTCTGGTGTGGGTCTAGTGAAGTGAGAGGAGCAGGAGGAGGCAAGAGGATGGCTATCAATGAAGGACACATGCACGTCTTTGTGAGGTCAGGTGAGGCAGTATATAAGGAGGCAAGGATCGAGATGAGCAATACACTCCACCATGAAGCTCCTGGTGAGTTGCTTCTCTCTCTCTCCGTGTCTCCAGGATCCTGGACAGTTACCCGGGATGATACAAAGTGTTGCTGAAGCACGAAGCCTCTCGTAGTGCTCTCATCCCACCGAATCAGCAAGAAAAATGTGTTGTGTGCTTAAGAAATTTAGCTTAGAAACGAAATTGAGTGTTCGTGGCCAGATAATGCGCGGCGTATTAGTCTGTGGCATGTTAACGAAATGTGTAGGAGTCCGAGAAGTGGTTAACTGTATTCTAAACCGGCAAACAGTATCCAGTTACTTTGACGCACAAGTGATGGTGATAGCTCAATATAGTGGCTGAATGAACAAGAACATTAACATGCCTTGTTTTTTGATGGAAATATTATCTTGTAAATGAAGTTACACAACTTGAAAGAATTCTGATAAATATATTGTCATGTTTGTAGAACGTGAGAGTATGAGGTGTTGTGTTTACTAGGTCGTTCCATGACGTTGTTGGCAATATACTTGTAATTTTACATCCTCTTTTTATTTATATTATATATATATATATATCTAACATATTCCCATTACTCTTCAGATACTGTCGTGTGTGTTGGCAGCGGCCGCGGCTGACTTGCGTCAGACCTACAGTCTACCAGCGCCCTCTGGCCAAGGCTTCTCCATCGGCAGCTCATCTGCTGGTTTCGGATCCTTTGGAGGCGGTGCAGGATCCTTTGGAGGCGGTGCAGGATCATTTGGAGGCGGTGCAGGATCCATCGGTGGTTCACAGTTCTCTAGCTCTGTGGTCAGCTGTGGCCAAGGACAGGTCCGGCATGTGGACGGCAGCTGTGTAACTCCTCAGGTCACCCGAAACCTGTTCCTGTACAAAGTCCCTTCAGCAACCCCGATCATTGGTCCAAGACCAAACGTTCCTCCTCCAAGGGTTGAGGACAACATTTTATTCATCCAATTCCCAGAGGAACTTCTGAGCCAAGAACCGATTGTGGTTCCTCCTCCACAACAGAGGAACGTGGTGTACGTCCTCAACAAGCGGCCTCATCATGATCATAAGGTTATTCACGCACCAGGACCTGAACAGCCAGCTCCCGAGGTGTACTTCGTCAACTATGCTGAGGGCGAGAACCCGTCTTTACCCAGCGGTGGGGACCTCCAGTCGGCCCTCAACACTGCCTCTGAGGGCGGCGGTGAGCTCATCGGCAGCAGCGGTGGAGATCTCGGTGGCGCTGTTAGGGATGACGGTTTCGTTAATATTGGCAGCACCTCTAGCGTCTCGGCTCCTTCTGGTGTGTACGGTGTGCCTTAAGACACGTGTCACACTGTCATGGACGGAAGCCTCTGAGACCCACTCAGTGTCAACAACAGCTGCTTGTGCTTATCTTCTTCCCTCTAATTATATTATAATATGGAATATTATTTAAAGTTGATTAGCTCTCTTAATAAAATATATATATCAATATTTTGTATAAATATCCTACAGTATATTGTAATTGTTCTTTGCAGGTCTGTCTCCTAATATTTCTGCCCGTTTTCGCCAGAGTCAAGAATCTGTCGTATTAAAGTGCCTTATTCTAACTTACCTGAGCACTCAAAAACAGAAAACGGGACATTATGTCAATTTCGCGAGCCGCTACCATTTTCTAGTATGACAGTTTTTGGAAAGTATACGTCAAAATGCGACGTGCTATTAGAAGGACGGGTTGAACATTATGTGTTCATCAGAAAGTTAGAAAACTGAAGACTCGTACATACTTGATGGAATACGCTCACAGTTTTTCAGAAAACAGAATATGAATTCTATGCATTGTTAGGATATTACGTTAATATAGTGATCTTAGCTATAATTACATTACAGCTTACTAGTATTTACGCTTGATGAGTGTTTTAAAATATAGAACATTATACTTTAACACACTCGCTCAACACGAACACAACTTGTGCTTATTGCTTGTAGGAACAAAGTCTGCCTTTATTGCTATGTTATAGTGACTATACTGATGCCTTCCTGAGAACTATGGGCAAGCAGACCCGACTGTTACCTTGCCCTCCCTGTATTGTCACCTTGCCCTCCCTGTATTGTCACCTTGCCCTCCCTGTATTGTCACCTTGCCCTCCCTGTATTGTTACCTTGCCCTCCCTGTATTGTCACCTTGCCCTCCCTGTATTGTTACCTTGCCCTCCCTGTATTGTTACCTTGCCCTCCCTGTATTGTTACCTTGCCCTCCCTGTATTGTCACCTTGCCCTCCCTGTATTGTCACCTTGCCCTCCCTGTATTGTTACCTTGCCCTCCCTGTATTGTCACCTTGCCCTCCCTGTATTGTCACCTTGCCCTCCCTGTATTGTCACCTTGCCCTCCCTGTATTGTCACCTTGCCCTCCCTGTATTGTCACCTTGCCCTCCCTGTATTGTCACCTTGCCCTCCCTGTATTGTTACCTTGCCCTCCCTGTATTGTCACCTTGCCCTCCCTGTATTGTTACCTTGCCTTCCCTGTATTGTCACCTTGCCCTCCCTGTATTGTTACCTTGCCCTCCCTGTATTGTCACCTTGCCCTCCCTGTATTGTCACCTTGCCCTCCCTGTATTGTCACCTTGCCCTCCCTGTATTGTCACCTTGCCCTCCCTGTATTGTCACCTTGCCCTCCCTGTATTGTTACCTTGCCCTCCCAGTATTGTTACCTGCCCCTCCCTGTATTGTTACCTTGCCTTCCCTGTATTGTCACCTTGCCCTCCCTGTATTGTTACCTTGCCCTCCCTGTATTGTTACCTTGCCCTCCCTGTATTGTCACCTTGCCCTCCCTGTATTGTTACCTTGCCCTCCCTGTATTGTCACCTTGCCCTCCCTGTATTGTTACCTTGCCCTCCCTGTATTGTCACCTTCCCCTTCACACATTGGCACCTTCCCCTTCACACATTGGCACCTTACCCTCATGTATTACCTATATGTTACATCGTTCCTAGGACAAGTAAACAATTTCGCTTTCTGGTTTAATTCCTTGATTCACATTTATATGATTTCAGCTTTGTGAGTGTTTAGAATTTTCATCAAACGTCATCACGAAAATGGTGATACAGATGCTATATATATATATATATATATATATATATATATATATATATATACACACACTGTTGCTGCTACGGCAAAATAGAATGAAGAATTCATATAATTCTTTTCAGTGATTAAAAAGAATGACATGAATGAAGCTCCGCTTGAACAAGGTCTTCAGACATGTAAATATCATTCACTTAGCGTTGTGCAGAAGAAAGCTGCTGTACATGCAGCTGGAAGGAATATAAGGAAGAAATAAACATTAAATCTTTAGAAAACATTCTTCCTCGCACCGTGTGACACAGACCTAGTCAACGTGGCAGTGTTAACATCCCGTCACACTCACCGTCATCTTTCGTGTTCCGCATCTAATTCTTTCTGAAAATTGCAAGACAAGACAGCTGCCAGTAATCGTGCCAAGACTCACGTTGCCATTGTGTCTCCGTAAACATTTATTTACATTTGATTCATAAGACGAGTTTTATTGCCTAATATATGATGAACCTAACATGAAACTTTTACATCATTCATAAAAAGAGTTTTTGTCATAACTAACAGCTCTGAAAATATACATGAAATAGGCTGGACATCTACTTATCGACACGTAAATCTTAAATATCTATGGTTGGTCATTAATCGCACATTTAACCAAAAACGTTGCATTTGGGATAGTACGAATTTGATAACATTTAGCTATAAAATTGTTCAGCACAATGATTTTGTAATTGTTCATTAATAATGAACCATTTTCCAAAGGGATGGCTGAAGTCTGCGACTACAGTAGACATCACTATCATCATTGTTGATACAACAACCTTCTTCAATGGTGACAAAGTGATAACCATCATAAATTGCAATTCAGCATAGTCAACATCACCTTCAGTTTTGACAAGTATTCATTAATGGGCTGAGGTCCAACACGGGAAGAGCTGCCTGCATGCACTCATAGTTCAGGCAACACAAAAACACAAATATGGCTCTATGCTCACGGACCAGGCGTCACCCAGAACACGCTGTCCGTCTTTAGTGCAGGGAACGAACAATGATTATTGATTAAACCATTTTTGGACGTGGAGCCGATATCGCAGATCGAGTGAGACAGGAAGGTATATCGCCGCTTATCTGAGAGGTCGAGACCGATTAAGTACCGAATCTCCATAAGGCAACCGCTCCTGCCTGCGTATGACATAAATTTATAAATATAAATATATTAAATAATAAATATAAATTTATTATTACATAATTTATGTAAGCATAAAACATAGAGGGTAGAGATTTCATTCTCTCTTAAAGAAGGTGTCTAGAAAACCCCTGCATTAGCAGGCTTCTTGGGGCTTCCTTTTTCATCAGATTTTTTCCAGGTGGTAATCGAGGTGAAGCTCACTAGGAGCTAGCAGGTCCTACCCATTCCGTGGCATGTGCAGTTAGCACACCCTGCAGGAGGGAGGGAATTATCAGGGAAAAGCGTCAAGCCATTATGACTATATAGCACTTGAAGGGGGGTCATGATAAGCATTTGGGATGGGGGGGAAAGGAATGGTGCCCAACCACTTCGACGATAGGGGATTGAACGCTGACCTGCATGAAGCGAGACCATCGCTCTACCGTCCAGCCCAAGTGGTTGGGCATTCCCTGCAGGAATATTCTCTGGAATTTCAGTGATATTTCGCCATACAAAAATTATACATTAACAAATGAAGCACGAAATTTACAATTAATGTCACACATTATTGATTCAGAACCATATCCATATTACGTTGAGATATCCATATCTCAACGTAATACGAAATGACTTACAGTAAGAGAATGTCAAGCGTCATTCGCGTAACTGCTATGGCTCTAGGGTTCTGCCACACTAAAAGGCGATGTATATATGCCTTTTTAAATTTCCAAAACTATTTACTAGCTCAAAAAGACTCACCCTAAAGACGAATTTGGTCACATAATTTTACATTAACTCGTGACGACAGGGCAGCCCTGTGTCTGGTCCTGTTCGACGCCAGGGCGACCTTCTGCCCAGTATTTGAAGCGCCAGGAAAGTCTTCTGTCGGGTAACAATACCAATGAGACCTCGAGTGTCTCAACCTGCCAGACCAAACACTTAGCTTCTTACTCATTTTACGTCTTGAGTGAAAAGTGATTGTGCTCCTTCGCCTTGATGCTCCGTTGACCTCCAATTGTTATGCCAATGAGGTCTTTTCAGACTGGGCAAATCTGTGCTGAATTAGTACATAGCAATTTAGGTCTTGCCTTATAATCCTGAGTAATTTCTCTCATTGTTAAACGAACGACCAGTCATGACCTGCAGGTGAGAGGACAAGGTGGTAACCGGGCTCCTCCAGCCTATTGTGTGGCAGCGTTGGGTCGCCACCCCGGAGACCCACACGACTGGTGAGGCTGTTGTGCAGTCCGCTCTCCCAGCGTTCCCAACCTCACGAAACTGTTGTACAAAGGTGCCCAAACCTAACCAACCCGAGAACTCGCCAGCAGAAAACGGGGCATCACGTCAATTTCGCAACAAGACGCTATCATTTTTAATACATCAGTTTTTGCTTCTTAGGGAAATTATACGTCAAAATGCGATGAGGATTTTGCTCATTCAGGTAAACAAGTTTGCTGATAATGCTTCACTCGTCTCTAAGTTGGCTGATAATGCTTCACTTGTCTCTAAGTTGGCTGATAATGCTTCACTCGTCTCTAAGTTGGCTGATAATGCTTCACTTGTCTCTAAGTTGGCTGATAATGCTTCATTTATCTCTAAGTTGGCTGATAATGCTTCACTTGTCTCTAAGTTGGCTGATAACACTTCACTTGTCTGTAAGTTGGCTGATAACGCTTCACTTGTCTGTAAGTTGGCTGATAACACTTCACTTGTCTGTAAGTTGGCTGATAACGCTTCACTTGTCTCTAAGTTGGCTGATAACGCTTCACTTGTCTCAAAGAACAATTAGTTATCTCTCTCTCATCCATATCTATAAAAGAGAATGTTCGCGATAATAATATATACATCTTTAGGGCTGAATCCTGGGAATGGTCACTCGGCCTTGGGACCTCGATAAGCCCAACAGGTTTCGTGTCCCCAACAGTGAGAAACCATGGCACTTATTACAGCGATGTAATAGTTATTATATGTCGAATCATTAGAAATTTGTCTTTTATCCATTATTCTTAATAAGATTATTGACAAGAAGATTTGCTGAGATTTCGTATGAAATAACAGAGAATATTTTTGTTCTTTAAAAATGCGTGAATATTCCTGCCAATTTTTTTGTATTTTTATCAAAGTATTAATTTCTTTAAAAAATTCACTAGTTATACTTTGTCATATGTTGAATAAGGATAATGGGTTAAAAAGTTATACATTCCTATAATTCAAAGCATAACTTCATTTACTTTGTTAAAAGATACAATTAGTTGGATGCTCTTGCAGCCTCACAACTAGACCAGACCTGACAACAAAATTAATAAAATTAATCCAACTAGGAAAGCCCATTGGCGGAGAGAATAACTTTGTCATTGCACTGTGCTGCAACGCCACAATAGGAGATGACCCATTTCTCAGCCGTGCGTGCCCCCATGCAGGGCACTTCTTCTAGCAACACTTACGTCTGCAACTCTGGTCTTCCGCCTTGGTGCCCCAATTCACAATTTTGTACAAGTGCATTTACAACAATGGTGGAAGGTGACCAATCCGGCTTGAAGGGTTGGCACTGTGGACGTTCCAAGGGTTTAGGTTTCGAGGCCACTAAAGATGGTAGTCCTTCAGGTAAATTCAGGTAAATATGCCACATTCAAGGTGAGCGCTATCTAGCGGTAGACTTTTATATATGCATCTGTCATGGTGGTGCATGATGATGTAAATACAACACGAATAACCATGTAGTTCCCATCTTTACTCATTACACAGCTGACTATCTTTCATCATTACACAGCTGACTATCTTTGATCATTACACAGCTGACTATCTTTGATCATTACATACCTGACCATCTTTTCCCATTACACAGTTGACTACTTTTGATCATTACAAACCTGACAATCTTAAATCATTACATAGCTGACTTTCTTAACTAATTACACCTCTAACAATATTTACTCATTACTCATCTGACCATCTTAATTCATACACACCTGAATATATTTTTTCCCAGCGTACTTGACCAGCGTGCTTACTACATAAAGGACCAATTTTACTCATAATTGCACCTATCAAAGAAACTAAATATAATAAAATAATTAGTTTTTTAGTGATTTAAGATTGATTTTGTAATAGTACAAATTACCAGAATTCGTCTTAAATATGTAATACTTAATTAAGACCAGCCCTAGCTCTCTGTTCATTAGCTCTTTGGTAACATATCTAATATATTTTCATATTCATAAACTTTACTCACAAATGTTTGGATACTTATAATATATTTAGTTTACACAAAAGTACAGTCGGTAAAATATTAAATTAGAAAAGTGCTGATATTTTGATATGCAAGTTTATAGAAAAGTTATAAATGTTATTAATATTCTTTAACATTTTGTATTTTAATGTGTTTAATAGGTATAAATTATTCTACCTATTTTAGTGTGAAGTAAATATTAGCTCACATATAGAGGTGAGCCGCCCTGAGAGTTGCTAGTACGAGCGGCTACCACTAGGAGCTGTGCACCTTAAAAATTGACAAATATAGTTGGGAAGTTAAAACATTTCCATATTATTAATAACTTTGAGGCCAGCAGCGCTGCTAGGGCTACCACTAAAGCTTTTGTGCCATTTTCGCCAAATATACTAAACATTTAGCGGTTCATTACAGCATTACACTATCCTGCAGCCATATACAGTAATTTCCCCTGGTGCCAGTATCACACATTCCCAGAGCATCATAGCAATTGAAATGACTCAAATTTGCATTAATTATATTTTACATAGAAGAAGCACAGGTGAGGGAGGTAGGCACGAAGACCGCTAAATTGGTTTTATGTGCTCTTGTAAAAAGTTTTTATTAATATTTATGGCAAAATTCTGGACATTGTTATAAGAGAAGTTGAGAGCTTGAGTTAAATAGGCGGCGGCATATTGTCCCACTACGATATGCTGAAAAACGAAGTCACATGTAAACACATTTACAGTATTTTAACATGTATAAATGACAAATAAATAAAACGCCTAGGCTCATATATAGATATTAATAATACATTCGACATGTTTATTAATACATAAATGACATTTATTATACCTAAATGACCCTGATCGTTCATTGCCATTTTGTTTTCGTTTTAACCGGGACTAATGCAGGCTGATAGATCAAGTTAGGATAGGCTGCTGTATGTGGTTGTGCTGGTTGTGGTCGGCACAGCTCCTGGACACCTCACCAAGAGATGGACACCACTGTTTCTTTAGTAATTAGTTTTGTTTTCTGTTGATGGGCCCAACGTACAGGGTACGGTGTATTAGACTATTAAATGACTTTATCTATAATTCAAAGTAGAGGGTTTGTTATATTAGACTTTTGTGAGAGGTTATCTTGTATCAAGAGAGCGTGGCGAGGTTAGGATCCATCCACATAGAGTAGCGGTAAAGCTAAACACTGTCAATTCCTTCACCGTCCGGTGCCACAATCACCAACCGTATTTGTAATGCAAATGCCAGTGAAAATATATACCTGTCAGAGTAGTCATTAGAAGTACAACGACGTCAGCAAATTTAAAATTCGTATTGGAAAAAATGATAAGAAAGGGAAAAGACATTTATGAGGCGAGGAGTAGGGGGAGGGTGGGAGGTGATCCATCACTCGCCAGCATACTACACAACGGTAGCATTAACTAACGCTACTTCTAATTAATATCTTGTCATATACCAACATTATTTTGTGGAAAATACATGAAATAGAAAAACCTTCGATATTTACATAATAAATATATAAAATTCTTGGAAAATAAGATGGCTGGCCAGCGAAAGTACGCGGTGGTGGCTGCCCACTGGGGGGTATTGACACTTGGTCCCTTGTGAGTGTCAGGTGAGATTACTAAAGCGAGAGGAGGGAAGGGGAGGAACCATCAATGAAGGACACATGCAAGTCTCTGTGAGGCCAGCAGAGGCAGTATATAAGGAGGGAAGAACCAGACAGACATCACACTCCACCATGAAGCTTCTGGTGAGTTGCCTCTCTTCTCTCTCAGTGTGACCATACGAGCAACCAGTGATAATCTCCAGAAACCCGGACAGTTAATCGGGATGCAGACAAGTGCAGCTGTAGCGGCCTGGTCCCAGCCAGACAAGTGCAGCTGTAGCGGCCTGGTCCCAGCCAGACAAGTGCAGCTGTAGCGGTCTGGTCCCAGCCAGACAAGTGCAGCTGTAGCGGCCTGGTCCCAGCCAGACAAGTGCAGCTGTAGCGGCCTGGTCCCAGCCAGACAAGCGCAGCTGTAGCGGCCTGGTCCCAGCCAGACAAGTGCAGCTGTAGCGGCCTGGTCCCAGCCAGACAAGTGCAGCTGTAGCGGCCTGGTCCCAGCCAGACAAGTGCAGCTGTAGCGGCCTGGTCCCAGCCAGACAAGTGCAGCTGTAGCAGCCTGGTCCCAGCCAGACAAGTGCAGCTGTAGCGGCCTGGTCCCAGCCAGACAAGTGCAGCTGTAGCGGACTGGTCCCAGCCAGACAAGTGCAGCTGTAGCGGCCTGGTCCCAGCCAGACAAGTGCAGCTGTAGCGGACTGGTCCCAGCCAGACAAGTGCAGCTGTAGCGGCCTGGTTCCAGCCAGACAAGTGCTGTTTTAATAGCGCTGTGGTTTGTGCTTGACAAGTGCTGTGGTAGTACTGGTCCCAGCCAGACAAGGGCTATTGTAGCACTGTTTACAGCCACAAAAGTGCTGCACTTGTCCTAGCCAGAGAGGTGCTGTTGTAGCTGCCAAATCACATGTGGAGAAATATGTGTTTTTCTCCCAAGACATAACTCAGGAATGTGAAACACACAATAGGCCTGGTGATGCAAATATCAGGATTTCTTCAAGAAAATATCCTGAGACGGAACTTACAGAACACAGAACTTCCAACACTGTAATTGTGGCATACAAATGTCCGTAGTAAAGATCAAACTGCACAAATTGATAATGTTATTTCTGAAAGGTTATAATGATTTTTGGAAACACTAGTTGTGATGACGTGGAGGACTGGTAACACTAGTTGTGATGAGTAGAGATAATAACACAAGTTATGATATTGTGTAGCGCTAGTAGCACTAGGAGGTATAATGTGTAGTGCTAGTAGCACTAGGAGGTATAATGTGTAGCGCTAGTAGCACTAGGAGGTATAATGTGTAGCGCTAGTAGCACTAGGAGGTATAATGTGTAGCGCTAGTAGCACTAGGAGGTATAATGTGTAGCGCTAGTAGCACTAGGAGGTATAATGTGTAGCGCTAGTAGCACTAGGAGGTATAATTTGTAAAACTAGTAACTAGTTGCAATGTGTACAAAAACATTTACAAACATGTAATGCATTCTATTTTTAATAATAATAATAATCAACCAGGGGTAATTTTGCAATCGTACTTATTAATATTTAAGTTTTATTCTGCTGCTATAAATTCAGTTCAATTGTGTGCAATATTTCACATACATATTATGGCTAAACTAGAACCAGCGTCTTCGGTAATGTCCTCAGCATTTCAAACATGTTCCAATTACTTTGCAGATATTGTCGTGTGTGTTGGCAGCGGCCGCGGCTGACTTGCGTCAGACCTACAGTCTACCAGCGCCCTCTGGCCAAGGCTTCTCCATCGGCAGTTCATCTGCTGGTTTCGGATCCATTGGAGGCGGTGCAGGATCCTTTGGAGGCGGTGCAGGATCATTTGGAGGCGGTGCAGGATCATTTGGAGGCGGTGTAGGATCATTTGGAGGCGGTGCAGGATCCATCGGTGGTTCACAGTTCTCTAGCTCTGTGGTCAGCTGTGGCCAAGGACAGGTCCGGCATGTGGACGGCAGCTGTGTAACTCCTCAGGTCACCCGAAACCTGTTCCTGTACAAAGTCCCTTCAGCAACCCCGATCATTGGTCCAAGACCAAACGTTCCTCCTCCAAGGGTTGAGGACAACATTTTATTCATCCAATACCCAGAGGAACTTCTGAGCCAAGAACCGATTGTGGTTCCTCCTCCACAACAGAGGAACGTGGTGTACGTCCTCAACAAGCGGCCTCATCATGACCATAAGGTTATTCACGCACCAGGACCTGAACAGCCAGCTCCCGAGGTGTACTTCGTCAACTATGCTGAGGGCGAGAACCCGTCTTTACCCAGCGGTGGGGACCTCCAGTCTGCCCTCAACACCGCCTCTGAGGGCGGCGGTGAGCTCATCGGCAGCAGCGGTGGCAGCGCTGGCGTTCCAGGTGGTGCTATTACCGATGGTGTCAGCGTGCCCGGCGTGTCTGCTCCGTCAGGTGTGTACGGTCTGCCCTGAGACACATCTCACATTGGCGTCAAGACTGCAAACCGTCAAGATCCAGTCACAGTCAACGACAATCATTATCTCGAATGATAAATAATATAGCCTAGTTTTATACTATCTCTCTCTCTGTATGTATGTATATATATATATATATATATATATATATATATATATATATATATATATATATATATATACATACAGAGAGAGAGAGAGATTCTTAATATTAAAAGATCTAACTTGTATTTATTAGTTGATAAACTCAAATCCCTTAATAAAATGATATACAAATATTTTGTATATAAGTTTTCCTTGCGCAAATAATATAATCTGTTCTTCATATGTCTCATAGTCCTAAAGATTGGACAACAGTTACAGGTAATATATTATATGCTCAAAATTAAGAACTTGAAAATGATTAATTCATTTGTGGATCTTAAATTCAATAGTTTACACGCACGTACTAATGGGCTGAACAAAGGTTTATTTCTGTCATTCGAGTGTCTTAAGTTTATCATGTTAAGACTTGCATCACAGCATTTTCTCGAGAAAAAAATCTTTCTTTGTAAATTATTCCAAATATATCTGCACGAATAAAGGAATATAATATAGCTAAGGATTTGAGTGAAGAGTGTTGGTGGTATTCTCCTACGGCTATGTTAATAACACTTGATCTGTTCTTCTTCCATATAGAAATAATTAATTAGTTCAATTAATAAAAAAAATTATATATATATGTATATTTAGAGAGAGAGAGAGAGAGAGAGAGAGAGAGAGAGAGAGAGAGAGAGAGAGAGAGAGAGAGAGAGAGAGAGAGAGAGAGAGAGAGAGAGAGTGAGAGAGAGAGAGAGAGAGAGAGAGAGAGAGAGAGAGAGAGAGAGAGAGAGAGAGAGAGAGAGAGAGAGAGAGAGAGAGAGAGAGAGAGAGAGAGAGAGAGAGAGAGAGAGAGAGAGAGAGAGCTGCCTTCTGGAAGTTCAAGAGGAGAGACGGTACTGTTGTGCTTCTTAGATTGACGTTGCCAGCGTGTCTGCGTCCTATCTTCTTCAGTGTAATTCCCATGCCAAGAGCTGTATTTATTTCTTGATGTGAACTCGAACCTAGTACAAATATTTTATATTATAATTATATTAAACATATTTTAAAATACTTTTGTATTAATAATGGATCGTCAGTACTTCATAATTAAATCTTACAAATTACCACAGGATGTTTACTCTGAAATAAACACAATAAGCATCTTTTGATTATTAAATCTCTTGCTTTAATATACTGTACTTCTCAGAACATGTGCAAGTTGTCTCTCCACTGAAATGGCAAGCCTATCGTCTTCTCAGCATCGCTGTCTCAGTGTAGGAGATGCACCTTATCGCACACCCTCAACATTTCCTCATAGACACATCACACTGTTTGTGGTTCTATTGTGCTAGGCTTAGTCTATTTATAACACTCATCAGTTTATTCATCACTATCAGAGTAGCAGTCGGCATTATCTGTGTTAACTAGTCTTTACGTCTTACTAAGAAGAGCAGAAACGGATCTGGAATAGATGCAGGCGATGAGTCACAATAACGTGGCTGAAGAATGTTGACCAGACCACACACTAGAAGGTGAAGGGACGACGACGTTTCGGTCTGTCCTGGACCATTTTCAAGTCGATTGAGAATGGTCCAGGACGGACTGAAACGTCGTCGTCCCTTCACCTTCTAGTGTGTGGTCTGGTCAACTGGAATAGGTATCACAGATTAAGTGAGGCAGAAGGAAATACCTTCCTCCGTTTCCACTCATGTTTGTTTCTGGCATTAACTAGCACCGGAGTTATGCCATTAATTAAGTATTGGAGTTTGACTTGTTACTCAGAAACAAGAAGGTGTCTTTACAATTTCTCGGGTTTTAGTTCACTTCTCACTCCATTTTACATTGGAGCCTTTCTTGGTAACCCAGTATTGGGTTCACAACGGCGCCGGGGCTCTGGGTTCCAACTCACTATTGAGGTCCAGGACACCCAAAAACATGCTGATAGAAACATAGTATTTACTGGTATTATTACCGATCGGTGAGCGTAGACACTTCAATAACAATATAACGGAAAGATCCTTAAGCATCATACAAACCATATGAACTGAACGAAGCCGAAAAATGTGAAATCTACTGTAAATTGAACAGACAATTTTAGAAGCTGCTGGAACTCGGACTCACAGATTATTATTATTAACATCTCACAGAGGCACAGATTCATTGACTCAGACGCGCATACTCTCGTCTCAGACGCGCGTACTCTCGTCTAGTATACTCAGTCCCAAGGCTTTACAGACGCATTGACTTAGACAAACGGGCTCGTAAATGCATGAGACTCATAAACGCAAGAACTCAAACACATGGACTCACAAACACATTGACCCAGTCACACAGAAACATAGACACACGCACCCAAAACACATATATTTAGATATACGGACACATAGAAGCATGGAATCAGTCACATGGACTTACAGAAGCCTCACATACACGGACTCACAGATGCATGTATTTACACAACTGAACTCCTTGACGCATTTACTTAGACAACTGGACTCACAGACTCATATACTTAGACAACTGGACTCACAGACTCATATACTTAGACAACTGGACTCACAGACTCATATACTTCGACAACTGGAATCACAGACTCATATACTTAGACAACTGGACTCACAGACTCATGTACTTAGACAACTGGACTCACAGACTCATATACTTCGACAACTGGACTCACAGACTCATGCACTTAAACAATTGGACTCATAGAGAGAATTTAAAAAACAAAACCTATTTATTTGTGTTTTGCAATGCTCGAAACATATACTCGAATGACAACATAAAAATCCCGTTCCTTCACAACAAAAGCTTTCTTGTTTAAAACGTTTGGTTTGCGAGGGTTTAGAGTTGCGAGTATGAACGCTGAAAACAAGTATTTCCACTAAAATTTGTCCGCCAAACTTGGGCCCGACGCCAAGTTATATACCCTTACTGCGTCAAGTTCATTGCGTGAATCATAAGTGCCTTATTCGATTTTTTAGTACAAAGTGTGCTTATATACACAAATTTCCACGCAATATTCTTTAAGAGAAAACTTTTGAAAGGTTTCTTAACAATTTACATTACAGTATTTCCCTATATGGCGGCCCGCACGTCCGTTTGGCGCCAAGCCCACAAAGGGTTAATCCGGTCTTGAGGTTACTGGTGGGCAGCTTTCCAGGTGGTGTCAACATGGCCGCCCTCGGCTGTATGTTGGCCACCGTAGTGGACCGTATGTTGGCCACTCTAGTGGACCGTATGTTGGCCACTCTAGTGGACCGTATGATGGCCGTTTTGGACCGACGCTCTGGGCCGTGTGTGTTGGACGCTCTGAGTTGTGTTGTTCGCCTTGGGTCGTGCGTTTGCTGCCCAGGGCTGTGTGCCAGCCGCCCACAGGCCAGATTTACCAGATTAACGAAGCAGTTACGCAAGCACTTACGAACCTGTACATCTTTTCTCAATCTTTGACGGCTTTGTTTACAATTATTAAACAGTTAATGAGCTCCGAAGCACCAGGAGGCTGTTTATAAGAATAACAACGGTTAATTGGGATGTTACATGATTTTAAACTGTTCAATAAATGTAACCAAAACCGTCAAAGATTGAGGAAAGATGTACAGGTTCGTAAGTACTTTCGTAACTGCTTCGTAAATCTGACCCCTGGGCCGTGTGTGTGTGTGTTGGACGCTCTGGGTTGTGTTCTTCGCCTTGGGTCGTGTGTTAGCCGCCCTGGGTCGTGTGTTGGTAAACCAGCCCCTCGTCACTAACGAGAGCCAAATGCTCCATAATCCAGCCGCCAAACCCCTTATTTATGAATGAAAAACGGTTTAAACACGACTTACGACTGATGATTTCTCGAACCATGCTTCGCTGATGCCCTCCGTTCGAACCACAACGCTGAAAATGCTTCACCCACGTACTTCAAATACAAATAATCGCAAATAGAACTTAAACACCTATGTCTTGCTATACTTAGAACTTTAATATAAAATAGCATTAATTTAAATGAGAACAAATCTATTTTTAATGCACAATACGTTAAAATGAATACTTTTGGGAGGCAGCAGATGCTTTAACAAGCCTGGCCTGAGGACAGGTTGTGGTAAACACAACCTGTACTTCTATTTATCAGAAGATGTACAGGAGTCTTACGGGTGCTTCTACTAATAAAAATCTCTTACGTCAATTAATGAAACACATTTTTTTGTTTTAATAAATACTATCTTTACTAACCACTGGTACCATATCACAACCCAATTCGTAAATTTTACAATAAAAGGATGATTCAAAAATATTTTTTCTTTTTTTCTTTCTGTGGCCAGCAAACGACAAATACTGTACCCACGTATATTGTAATTAACATTTCCGAAAGTGTATCTAAAATATTTACATTTTCTCTTCTGTTGTCAGTCAGGGAACTTACCAAATGAGAACTTGGACGTTTCAAGGAATAGTAATTTAAAGCAAACTTCTTTCCCTCCTAAATTAAAATGTTTAACATTTCCTCGCTTCGATGTTAACTGGTGCGAATCTGGCCCTTTGTCCGGTGCTGTGTGACATCAGACGACCGTGTTTGCAGTGCTTTATGCCACTGAGGCATCCCTATGATTGGTGATTTGTGACGCCAAGGCCGGCCTTTAATTGGTAATTATGATACCGGGGCGACCCTCTGTCCGGTCCAATGTGACGCCAGACGGCCCTGTCCTATCATATGTGACGCCAGACGGCCCTCTGTCCAGTCCTATGCGACGCCAGACAGCCCTCTGTCCAGTCCTATGTGACGCCTGGGAAGCCCACTGGCCCTTGATGTCTTAACTGCTTAGACCAAACACTTAGCTTCTTACTCATTTTACGTCTTGAGTGAAAAGTGATTGTGCTCCTTCGCCTTGATGCTCCGTTGACCTCCCAATTGTTATGCCAATGAGGTCTTTTCAGACTGGGCAAATCTGTGCTGAATTAGTATATAGGAATTTAGGTCTTGCCTTATAATCCTGAGTAATTTCTCTCATTGTTACACGAACGACCAGTCATGACCTGCAGGTGAGAGGACAAGGTGGTAACCGGGGCTCCTCCAGCCTATTGTGTGGCAGCGTTGGGTCGCCACCCCGGAGACCCACAGGACTGGTGAAGCTGTTGTTGACGCTTCTCTCTCTCACACACACACACACACACACACACACACACACACACACACACACACACACACACACACACACACACACACACACACACACACACACACACACACACACACACGTACGTTACGACACTAGAAAAAAAGAAGGGAGAGAAGGGGGGGGGGATATGATAGGATCGTTTAAAATACTCAGGGGGATTGACAAAGTGGAAATAGATGAAAGATTCACACGTAATATTAACAGAACGAGGAGACATGGGTGGAACCTGGAAACTCAGATGAGTCACAGAGATGTTAGTAAGTTTTCTTTTCGCGTGAGAGTAGTGGCAAAATGGAATGCACTGAAGGAGCAGGTTGTGGAAGCAAACTCTATTCAGAGTTTTAAAACTAGATATGACAGGGAAATGGGACAGGAGTCATTATGTAAACAACCGATGGCTAGAAAGGCGGGATCCAAGAGCCAATGCTCGATCCTGCAGGCACAAATAGGTGAGTACAAATGGGTGAGTACACATTTTGGAAGCAGTCGTTTTTGTAAACACTTGTAAATAAATGTGACCAAAAGGTCAATTTAATAATAGTTATTTAATAACAATTTAATACCGGATCAATTATTCTACCTTGAATCTACATTTAATTTTTCTTGTTCACTAGTAAAGGAAATCGAAAAATTAACTCTTCATTTTATATATTTAATGGACTTGACACATGTAGCAAAATGACGCGTTTCGCTTTAGCATGTTCGGAAGGAGTGGTAGAGTACACTCAAATTGGCAGACATAACATTATATATTCCATGTTGGATGATGACAGGTCAAGTGTAATAATGTCGAGGAGACTGGTAGATGTTTGGAGTGAATGTGGTCTTTGGTCGTGGAACATCTTGAAGTTCGTCTCAATGAAAGATTACACTATTTCAACACACATCCAGACCGTCACCAGGTATCATGACCAGCTAGTGTCAACATGTTACGACGCAAAATAACGGAATGACTACTTTCACCGAATGGTAATCGTAGTGTCTTGGCCTACGATCACCGACATTCAGGGGAATGCACGATGTGTGTTTATGCCACGCTTGGCTAAGTTAACTAAGATGGGCAGTTCAACATTTCCAGTTGTATATAGAATCAGGCGCCTGGGAACGCTGCTGTTGACTACTCCTCAAACATGTGCTGTTTGCTTACGGTTTTCAGATCGAACCCTCAGGTCGGGTTGCGTCCTCGGTCTGTATCCTAATACTGTCAGCGTCCACTAGGCTAGTACCGTCAACGTCCACTGGGCTAGTACCGTCAACGTCCACTAGGCTAGTACCGTCAACGTCCACTAGGCTAGTATCGTCAACGTCCACTAGGCTAGTACCGTCAACGTCCACTAGGCTAGTACCGTCAACGTCCACTGGGCTAGTACCGTCAACGTCCACTGGGCTAGTACCGTCAACGTCCACTGGGCTAGTACCGTCAACGTCCACTAGGCTAGTACCGTCAACGTCCACTAGGCTAGCACCGTCAACGTCCACTAGGCTAGTACCGTCAACGTCCACTAGGCTAGTACCGTCAACGTCCACTAGGCTAGTACCGTCAACGTCCACTGGGCTAGTACCGTCAACGTCCACTGGGCTAGTACCGTCAACGTCCACTGGGCTAGTACCGTCAACGTCCACTGGGCTAGTACCATCAACGTCCACTGGGCTAGTACCATCAACGTCCACTGGGCTAGTACCATCAACGTCCACTGGGCTAGTACCGTCAACGTCCACTGGGCTAGTACCATCAACGTCCACTGGGCTAGTACCATCAACGTCCACTGGGCTAGTACCGTCAACGTCCACTAGGCTAGTACCGTCAACGTCCACTGGGCTAGTACCATATGTACTCTCTCAACTCAACGGCACAGTTGTTCATATTTTATATAGTTATATGTGAACAATATTTAATATCACATACATTTTAAACGCCATTCGTTACATTATTCTTTCTTTCATCGAAAAACTAAAATGATTCAACATTCTATCCATATATAAAATCTGTAGCCAAAATTTTGCACAATAATGGTATTCTTAATTTTACAACATTTCACTGTAATATTACCATAAATAGAGTTGATAGTTTCCTTAACTTAATTTACAATTACAAAATTTATTCTTACAGAAATAAATTATAACTATATGAAAATTATTCTTTCGTTACATTGGTCCCACTTGATGTTGTCTTTCATTTACAACATATTTAATTACTATACTTAATTAATTAATTATAATATTATACAACAAATAAAAATAAAAATTTAAATTTAATATAGAGAACTTTTTATTAGAGGAGCAGAGGGTAGAGGGAGATGTGCTCAAAGGCTGCTAAAGGGGTTTTACGAGTTTTTATGAAAGTTTTTATTGACATTTATGGCAAAATCGTCGCCACTGTTAATTCAGAGGCGCTAGGCTAGAGTCACCCGGGAGGCTACAGTGCCGGGCACGTACAAGTATGTACAGGAATACAGCTACATCAAATAACACTGGCTGAATATTAATTTGGGTTTAATTAATCAATGTATTATCTCCTGTAGGAGATAATACATTGATAATTAAACACAAACCCCAAGTTAATACTAAAATTTTATATAAATTAATGTTGCATTTGATGTTTGTGGTTAAAATAATTATATCAAGGAGATATCAAGGTTGATATTTTAACCTTGATATGGTAAACCTTGAAATAAATATATAAGGGTTTACATGATCATTGTTGCATATAAATGAGAGTAATGTTTTATACCATAATGTTTGATTAACACAACAACTGCCTTCACACCTCTTAAATAATCATTTAACAAATTTGGGGAACAGTTGGTAGAAGGTACTCCAATGTTAACACGATCTAAAATCACACTGAAGTGTAAGACGAGACATTTGAATGTTACGCTGCCACAGGTTACCTTACCTTGAGGTTACCTTGAGGTGCTTCCGGGGCTTAGCGTCCCCGCGGGAGGGACACTGGACATCTGACCAGAATAATACGTGCCAGCTGTATTAATAACTAATTTCACTTTTCATTATATTTAAGACATATCAATCATGTCATCCAACAGATATATTTTATGCCAATGCTTCCCTAATTGAACAGTGCGTATACAAAATTAAATTCTTGGAAAATAAGATGGCTGGCCAGCGAAAGTACGCGGTGGTGGCTGCCCACTGGGGGGTATTGACACTTGGTCCCTTGTGAGTGTCAGGTGAGATTACTAAAGCGAGAGGAGGGAAGGGGAGGAACCATCAATGAAGGACACATGCAAGTCTCTGTGAGGCCAGCAGAGGCAGTATATAAGGAGGGAAGAACCAGACAGACATCACACTCCACCATGAAGCTTCTGGTGAGTTGCCTCTCTTCTCTCTCAGTGTGACCATACGAGCAACCAGTGATAATCTCCAGAAACCCGGACAGTTAATCGGGACGCAGACAAGTGCAGCTGTAGCGGCCTGGTCCCAGCCAGACAAGTGCAGCTGTAGCGGCCTGGTCCCAGCCAGACAAACGCAGCTGTAGCAGCCTGTTCCCAGCCAGACAAGTGCAGCTGTAGCGGCCTGGTCCCAGCCAGACAAGTGCAGCTGTAGCGGCCTGGTCCCAGCCAGACAAGTGCAGCTGTAGCGGCCTGGTCCCAGCCAGACAAGTGCAGCTGTAGCGGCCTGGTCCCAACCAGACAAGTGCAGCTGTAGCGGCCTGGTCCCAGCCAGACAAGTGCAGCTGTAGCGGCCTGGTCTCAGCAAGACAAGTGCAGCTGTAGCGGCCTGGTCCCAGCCAGACAAGTGCTGCAGTAGCACTGGTCTCACCAAGACAAGTGCAGCTGTAGCGGCCTGGTCCCAGCCAGACAAGTGCTGCAGTAGCACTGGTCTCAGCAAGACAAGGGCAGCTGTAGCGGCCTGGTCCCAGCCAGACAAGTGCTGTTGTAGCACTGCTGTAACAGTCGAAGGAGCAATAAGTAATGCTCACAGGACATGTGACATCCATTCCTAGGCCTGGTGATCCAAGAATCACTTCCTAATTGAAGTTTCCAGAGTTAACTACAAAACTCTAATACAAAGAAAAATAATATTTTAAATTTTAAGCGCTTTTTCCTGGAGATCTACAACGGCGAAAGTGTTATATGTCACTGTAGAAGCTAGCCTATCTTATCTTCCGTATTCCCTTTCAAATGACAACGGTATTACTGAGAGTTTTATATACAGTAAGGTAGCGCGGGTTGCAGACTCCTGTAAGACTGGTAATAATGCATATGTCTGAGATTTGAGAGCTAAGAATATGACTGACTGTATTATTAATGCATATTTTTATTTACACCTCGGAATCAATCTTCTATACAAATTAATTAGGTAATTCATACAATCTAATTGTACGACATTAATTTTTATTATAAATATAATTATTATTCAGTGCAGTAACTCTAGCATCATCGTAGTTACTGAGGGTTTTCTTTTAGGTAAGAATTCAACTTCATTGAATTACTCTTCAGATATTGTCGTGTGTGTTGGCAGCGGCCGCGGCTGACTTGCGTCAGACCTACAGTCTACCAGCGCCCTCTGGCCAAGGCTTCTCCATCGGCAGCTCATCTGCTGGTTTCGGATCCTTTGGAGGCGGTGCAGGATCATTTGGAGGCGGTGTAGGATCATTTGCAGGCGGTGCAGGATCCATCGGTGGTTCACAGTTCTCTAGCTCTGTGGTCAGCTGTGGCCAAGGACAGGTCCGGCATGTGGACGGCAGCTGTGTAACTCCTCAGGTCACCCGAAACCTGTTCCTGTACAAAGTCCCTTCAGCAACCCCGATCATTGGTCCAAGACCAAACGTTCCTCCTCCAAGGGTTGAGGACAACATTTTATTCATCCAATACCCAGAGGAACTTCTGAGCCAAGAACCGATTGTGGTTCCTCCTCCACAACAGAGGAACGTGGTGTACGTCCTCAACAAGCGGCCTCATCATGACCATAAGGTTATTCACGCACCAGGACCTGAACAGCCAGCTCCCGAGGTGTACTTCGTCAACTATGCTGAGGGCGAGAACCCGTCTTTACCCAGCGGTGGGGACCTCCAGTCTGCCCTCAACACCGCCTCTGAGGGCGGCGGTGAGCTCATCGGCAGTAGCGGTGGCAGCGTTGGCGGCGGCAGTGGTATTGTTGGCGGAGGCGTGAGCGGAACATCAGGCGCCGCTGCTCCGTCTGGTGTATATGGTCTGCCCTAAGATGGAACTTCAGCAGGTTAAATTGTACTACTTTAAACAGTGTAATATACTTAGATGAATCAATATATAGGGCTTTGGATTCTTTAAATAATTGTAATGTATTAATTTGTATTTATTTTTAATTAAAAAATTGTGCTCAAAGTCGTATCAAATAAGCCAGACTAACCAATTTTATTGACAGAATAAAGTATATATTCTATTTCTATATATAATTATCCTCCTTGTTTAATGCTACTGGAAAGGAAATCTGCGGTGTTAAAGTTTGCTTGAAAAAATTGGGAATACACTGAGTATAATTAATAATGCACATAAGGACGCACGAGATACTAAATATTTTATTCACAGTTACAGCACCGCTCCTGTGCCAGGTAAGTCCACTACGGGCTCACCATAGCCCGTGTTACTTGGAACTTTTTGTTCCTAGTAGCTGAATCTAAAAACAACAAAAATACTAAACATTTGAGGATTTTGTGTTTAAGAATCTGCCTTAACCAGCGCCAAGGTGTCGTTTAAGACCATAACCCGAGGATAACCTATACTTAACCATCTGAGGCATAGACGTGTGCTTGCTGTTAATGTATGCACTTCTGCTTGACAGTTGTAATCGTACACGATAACCTAACCAAGTGCCGCGCTTATGCTATTTATTAATAAGTATAGTATTCTAATTATTATTATTATTTACTATTATTATTTACTTTTATTATTATTGTTATTATTATTATTATTATTATTATTGAGCAATAGTAAGTCACTGCAAACGGTAAAGAAAAAGTTGCAAAATGGTGAGGGGGTTTCAGCCATTAAGAAGACGGTCTCTGTCAATATTTGATCTTCACGCCTGTGACGTCACCCGCATCCCCCTGAGATAACATATGGTTCCCCGTCGTTGAGAACAGGAGGCCTGTTTAGTCTTACCGAGGTCCTCATACATAATGCCTTACCAGCACCAACATGCAACCCTTAACAGGCGACTAACTCCCAGTTACCTATTTACCGTTAGGTGAACGGAGGCATCAGGTATAAGAAACGTGCTCAAACGGTGAAGCAGCCATCCTCAAAACATTGACCAAAAAACACTACACATGATTCATAACCTGTTAAAGACGATTTTTTTCTAACAATTTTACGTTCACTTTCTGTGCTGGAAGTGATTCGCCCTCGTCCGCTAAATGCTAGCCCATTGAGTAAAATACTGACCATTCCAGGCGGTAATAATGCTCATGTTGTACACTAATTGACATTGTTCGAAGACCTGAACTGGAGACGTCCGTCATTAACTTCTAGGCTGTATTAACACTTTATCTTACCTTTACTTTATATTTGAGAAGAAAAATTGTATTATTCCGCTAAATATATTTCATTCTTTCAGTTAGCTGCCAGGATTCATCAAACATAGCCAGTATATGTAATATTGTCTAGAGATGAAAGATAGTATACTAAATAGAAATAATTTGGCCTATCCTCATATTTAGACATTACTTATAGTAACGATGTGAACCATCGTACATATATTAACGTAATGGACAATTAGAAAATAAATTTGGTACTACCGAATTTGGACAAACCAGAAAAGATTTTGTAGTTATGTTGCTAATAACCTAAGAACATTTAAGTTTGGAATTAAGCTTTATTTTCTTGAACTCTTTAAAGTGAATTGTACGAAATTGTACTGTCTAACTGACTATTACGTCAATATATGTACCATGATCCAAGTGGATACAAATAAGTACTTTCTAAGCAGGTGGATGGGTTGAAATAATTGCCAACGGAGCCAGAATACCTAACCTATGTCTGCTATATATAACAATGATAATTAATATTTAAGAAAATGTATTTTAATATACAGTGCTAAAAAATGTATGAATACGCCTTTCGGGATGACCTGAGCTTGGAGGAAGCATAGCGTGAGGGAAGGTTGGGGCAAAAGGTCATTCACTGTGGACATTTTGTTAACCTGGGTGTTGGGCTTAAGGCCTCTCAACCTCTGGAGTATTATTAAAACCACCACAATAGCATAATGAACAACCATTAATGCCTCACAGCCTCTAGAGGGCCATTAAAGCCACCACAATAGCATAATAAACAATCATAAATGCCTCACACCCTCTGGAGGACTATTAAAGCCACCACAATAGCATAATAAACAACCGTTAATGCTTCACAACCACTGGAGAGCTATTAAGGCCACCACAATAGCATATTGATCAACCATTAAGGCCTCATACCCTTAGGAGGGCTATTAAAGCCACCACAATAGCATACTGACCAACTATTAAGGTCTCACAACTTCTAAGAGGGGAATTAAAATCACCACAATATCATAATGATTAACCATTGAGGCTTACCATTCTCTTGAGGGTTATTAAGGCCACCACAGTAGCTTACTGGCCAATCAGCAAGTAAATAATCAGTGTATACGCCCTGTATCCGCACACACACACACACACACACACTCACACTTTGCCACACATTTGTAGAGATATATACATATATATATATACCTCGGTGAATATATCCATATATCCTCTTCAGTGTGGATGAGTTGAATAACTTCAGTTGCGGGCTCCAATGTGGGCTGTGGGGAGTCTCGTACTGAGGGCTCTCACGGTGCTCACCTACAGTACCAACAGTGAATCCTCCTGAAGGTGGCGGAGCAAGTACATATTATTACAGCCAGATATCCTGCATGTGTGATGTAATCCAATATTGGCATGCAATATGTAACCCGTGTTAAAACAAAATGCGCCCCTTCCCCCCTCAAAAAAAAAAAAACTCATCCTTACGCTATGTTCATCCAAGCTGTGGTTGTTCCCCAAAAAAATTTTGTGGTAATTTTTCTATGTTGTGTAATTACAAATTATACTTTTCAAATATGAATCAATATTTTAACTTATTAAAATATTTTAAAGTTAGGCTAGATTAGGTTAGGTTAGGCTGGGTTAAATTTGGTTACGTTAGGTTAAATTTAGTTACGTGTTTTAATTATATTGACAGTTCTTATTATTTTTCCAACCCATCCCCAGCCCAAGCTATAAGACAAATAGTGAAAGATTTTAATAAGTTTGCATTTGACTTATATATTATGAACCTAACAGTCTGGGTTTTGACAACAGGCACATTTATTGCACGTAGATGAAGCATTTGTAGAGGTGCGCTTTGACACGGGGGAGTGAGCATAACACTATTACAGAAACGGTTCAAACAAAATCCTTTGTGAATCACACTGAATCACTTGTATTAACGAGCATTTAGTCAAAGTTTAACAAATTGGCTGTAAATCTATTCCACGTTGTAGCCGCTTCTACCCTCTGTTTATTTGTTAATGAATTAACTGAATTTTATTCATGTGTTTCCAACTGATTATGTCCAGGCTTTTCTCATAAACTCTTCACTCACTTGTTAGGTTTATAGTCCACTTTTAAATATGATTCACCCACGTACTTTCAATTCAGATGCTTGGAAACGGAACCAACGGATGTTACCTGACCTAAGATGCTAAACCGTTTACAAAACTGTGTTCAAAAGCATAATACATTATTAAGTTTTGTATGAGATATTATGATTTGTATTGATGTAGAATATTTAGCAACTATACCTTTGGTGAGGTACACTGCAAGGCTTGTGGGTTGTTAGGCTACATTGACAAGGAGTTGCAACTAAGCTGTGTTTACAAATTATTAATCTTAAATATAAGTTATCGCCGTTTATATCAGCATGGTGTTGTGATCTCCGCACTCCTGTGTTATTAGAGATATTATTAACATCAGTATGATTATTATTATTATCAAAAGTAGTGAAGAGTTGATAACTGTGAAGTTCAGTCATACGACAAGCAAATCCAATTAAAATGAGAAATGAAAGCCTCCACTCGCTCTTTGTTTTACATAACTATGCAGTTTTTTCAAGAAAATTAATGTGTATTATTTGAGCATAAATGCTTATGCATCTATTGAAATAAAACAAATACTTCTAGCAACGTTGCGGTTCTTCTGGTAGCCGTCCTAGTCCCTCCCAACCCCCCTCGAAGCTACTACAGGCAAAGCTTCTAAACGATATTGATCTAACAATAAATAAACGTTGATCTTACGATGAATTCATGTTATTCGATCATGGTGTACTCGTTCGAACAGGCAAATATTTAAGTAATATTGAATACAACGTTGGTTAAATGTTATGCAAAAATCTTTAGCCCAGAATGCTCAAGACGTGACAAGAAATCTGAATGTATGTAGAATACAGATTCAATATTTTAACTTTTCCACAACACTGGTACGACGTCGTATATTTTGATGGGCCGCTGCCTTTGGCGTGAGTTCAACGCTTCCGAGATTGTTTTTTATTAACACATTTTGGTACATCTGCATTTGTGCAGCTACCCTAGACTATATGAAGGGGAGTACAGTGTGTCAAAAAGCTAGGTACGTGGTGCTAAAAATCCCCATCTCGCAGGATGGTTAGTCATACAGGGCCATATGTTCAGTAGCCTGCGCTAGCAAATTTTGGCTGCACTATGAGGATATCTTCAAGAACACGAGAGTGAATAAAGTAACTGTAAAGTTCCAGGTACCTCATGCCAACGGGTCTGAAGGGTCTAATAACTGGGCATTCGGTGATGTAGTGTGGGAGATCATGCCGCAGTTCCTGCTCACAGAGTTTGCACCTGGAGTGCTCAGGATTGGGAGATCTGTCACCTGCAGCCACCTGCCACAGGTAACGGTAACCCAACCTGATCCTGGCAACCACTGTCTAGCACAGTCTGGTGGACGTTTTGTGCTGCCCATAAATATAGGTTTCAGATCTGAACAAATCATAGCTTTTTATACTGGTGCTTTCAGGTCGTTGGGAGTCAGTTATTTCTTTCCTATCAGATCTGAGTGTTTGGAACAATATAGTTTTGACAGTTCGAGACTTTGCTCACTGTTCCTTCTTGGAGTCCGTGGATCACACGCGCCGCCTTCTGTAACTTAGAAGGATTATCTATTCATAAAGATTAAGATAATTTAATAGCTAAGGTTTAGCAGGCACAGCTAAATTATATAACTATGTTTATTCCTCTTCAAAATAATATTAAAGTTTCAAGATCAAGACGCACACACACACACACACATATATATATATATATATATATATATATATATATATATATATATATATATATATATATATATATAATCTTTTAACATGCAAACAATTGAAACTGCACTCTCAACACCCCAAGAAAATTCGCTGCTCCTGACCAGCTGGCGTCCGTCCATTCCAGGGAGGGCCGCTGAAGGTGGATGGCAATTAAATTAATGCATGATGAAGTTAGTGGCAGCGGCGCCCGTCGGAGCACCTCCCACCCCTACCTAAACACAACCGTCCCCCCATCATTCTACCAACCCACCTCACCCCCTTCCACCCCCTCAGTCCCTAAAACAACTACCTCCCCCAGCCTCCAAACATGCGCGCACAAGCTCTGCACACCTGTGACACTAACCGACCTCATTCTTCTATCACGACTATTTTGTACACAGTACACAACTTTCCAGATATAATAATTATTCACGAAGAAATGTGAGTGAAGTACGCAAATTGTTAAGGCTGTTCTTAGTAAAACAAAACAAACCGAGTTAATTAATACATTCAAAATGGTAAAATTGTGAACTTTAAAAAAAACATCTGAAGGTCAACATGTGAGAAACAGAGAAAGTACACGACGGCAGAAGAACAGGGAGCAAGGGAAGGGGAATAATGACACATTTGTTCCGTGTGTGTGTGTCAAGTGAGATTACTGAAGTGAGAGGACCAGGAGGGAAGGGGCAACAACCATCAATGAAGGACACATGTAAGTCTTTTGAGGTCAATTGAAGCAGTATATAAGGATGGAAGGACCAGCCAGACATCACACTCCACCATGAAGCTCTTGGTGAGTTCTACCTCCCTCCCTCTCTCCTTGTGTGGCTTGAAGAACAACTAGTGATAACCTCCAGAGACCCGGACACTTACTCGGGACGGAGAAAAGTGTTCCTGCAGTGTACTCGTCTTAGTCCCTCGACGGGGAAAAGAAGTGTTCTCTTAACAAGAAATTTAAATAAGAAATAAGGTTTGGTTCTTGGATTTGTTCCGAGAACCAAGACACAAGAGATAGTCTGTGATAAGAGTATTGTTGCTCAATACGAGATTTGGTGCCATGTGTCAATAAATGTATCCAGATATAACAAACTGTTTAAGGCTTGTGTTAACTCTGGTAACGAGAGTGGGTGGTGGTGATGCGGGCCGTGGCCGTGCCCAGGGGCGCCTCTGGCAGTGGTATTGTCCAGAGGAGTCACGACAGGGGCTTGCGAGCTGTATGACCCAAAGAAACAATGAAAGAACTCTGACAAGCTGAGAGGTCGGCGCCACGTCTAAAACGATCCCTGGCTACGATATCTTTTATTTTATATTTATTATAAATGGTTTTAAATTATTTTATATGGTATAAATGGATTTTCGAATACTTTCATATTTATTATTCATGAATTTGTGTTTTTGAGAAACATGTTCACACTTCAAGTTCTTTTTAACATTACTATATTATAATAATAATTGCTGTAAGTATCACTTAAGTTTATGAATGCCAGAACGTCACTTTTCCTGTGCAGCTATCTGTAGCACGTTGTGCTAATAACCATTTATTTGAAAGTTGTCTGAACTATAGGCGAAACTGATGGATAGGCTGCATTATTATTATTATTACTGTATTATTATTATTATTATTATTATTATTATTATTATTATTATCGTTATTAAATGTTGACCTTATATGTTGACCTTATATATTATATGTTGTTAACCTTAAAAGATTTTTTTAAATTACTTATGAAAAAACATATATAGCTTTAATTATTCAACACTGTCTCCTGTAAAATATTGTTCTAAAGCTTTCCAAGAAAGAGATTCAGTTTAGTTATACATAACCAACGCTAATTAAAATGTTGCCCTTGAGGTGAGAATACCTCAGACATGCTGGTGTTGTTGCAGGTACTGTCGTGCATGTTTGCAGCGGCCGCGGCCGGATTGCTCCAGGGCTACACTCTACCGGTGCCCCATGGTCACTCATCTGCTGGTCTCGGAACATTTGGAGGCGGTGCAGGATCCTTTGGAGGTGGTGCAGGATCCTTTGGAGGAGGTGGAGGATTTGGAAGCGGTGTAGGATCATTTGGTGGTTCACAGTTCTCTGGTCATTCTAGCTCTGTGGTCAGCTGTGGCCAAGGACAGGTCCGGCATGTGGACGGCAGCTGTGTAACTCCTCAGGTCACCCGAAACCTGTTCCTGTACAAAGTCCCTTCAGCAACCCCGATCATTGGTCCAAGACCAAACGTTCCTCCGCCAAGGGTTGAGGACAACATTTTATTCATCCAATACCCAGAGGAACTTCTGAGCCAAGAACCGATTGTGGTTCCTCCTCCACAACAGAGGAACGTGGTGTACGTCCTCAACAAGCGGCCTCATCATGACCATAAGGTTATTCACGCACCAGGACCTGAACAGCCAGCTCCCGAGGTGTACTTCGTCAACTATGCTGAGGGCGAGAACCCGTCTTTACCCAGCGGTGGGGACCTCCAGTCGGCCCTCAACACCGCCTCTGAGGGCGGCGGTGAGCTCATCGGCAGCAGTGGTATTGACGGTATTAGTGGTACTGGAGGCATCACCAGCAGCATTGGTGGTGTCGGTGGCAGCGTCGGTGGAGATATAAGTGTCCCATCTGGTGTGTATGGTTTGCCGTAAGGAGACACGTCTTCAAACATGTGTCAACCGTCGGACCTGGTACTGCTTCACTAAGGCGATAGCAGTTCTTTGTTTCGCTTGGGTTACATATCATGGTGTTAACGCGTTCATATTTATTCTTTGTTGTAAAGGAAGTTACTTGTAATATTATTTTCCATTTAAGATTACCCAAAACCCATGTATTTAAATCTGACTAAAACAATAAACTATGGAAGTATTAATCTGTATATAATTTTCTTCTCCAAAAATAGGACAACAATAATAATGACAACAATGGACAAGAATAACAGTAACATCGGCAATAATACGCGATGAGATTACTAGCTAATCATACAGAAAAGTAATATTTATTAACAGTATTACTAACGGTTCTAAAAGGAATTAACATATCAGAGCTGGCTACAAATGCCAGTAACACGTCCCTCGGTAAATTAAGATGTCATATATTACTGTTCAATTGCTTCTAAAATAACAAATTAAAAACATCGCTACGTTCGCATTGATCACCACTGATGGATTTATTTACAAAAAATAATCAAAATCGAATTTATTACTCAATAAATCCTACCCATCTTCATGTGAAGATAATTGCCTAACAACAATATTTCATGAATACAAAATACGATATATATATATATATATATATATATATATATATATATATATATATATATATATATATATATATATATATATATATATATATATATATGATCTCGATAAGCCTAAAAGTAATGAGAATATAGAAACAGTATCATTTATTCAAATTTGTTATAGTAGAGACGTCCAAAGGAATGCTTAGTTACGGCAAAATACGTAAGTTTACAATGGTTGCTAAACTTAGCAGATTGAAGTTCCTACGACTCCTCAAGCCTGTCATCCATCAGTAATGTTACTACGACTCTTCAAGCCTGTCATTCATCAGTAATGTTACTACGACTCCTCAAGCCTGTCATTCATCAGTAATGTTACTACGACTCTTCAAGCCTGTCATCCATCAGTAATGTTACTACGACTCCTCAAGCCTGTCATTCATCAGTAATGTTACTACGACTCTTCAAGCCTGTCATTCATCAGTAATGTTACTACGACTCCTCAAGCCTGTCATCCATCAGTAATGTTACTACGACTCTTCAAGCCTGTCATTCATCAGTAATGTTACTACGACTCCTCAAGCCTGTCATTCATCAGTAATGTTACTACGACTCCTCAAGCCTGTCATCCATCAGTAATGTTACTACGACTCCTCAAGCCTGTCATTCATCAGTAATGTTACTACGACTCCTCAAGCCTGTCATTCATCAGTAATGTTACTACGACTCCTCAAGCCTGTCATTCATCAGTAATGTTACTACGACTCCTCAAGCCTGTCATCCATCAGTAATGTTACTACGACTCCTCAAGCCTGTCATTCATCAGTAATGTTACTACGACTCCTCAAGCCTGTCATTCATCAGTAATGTTACTACGACTCCTCAAGCCTGTCATTCATCAGTAATGTTACTACGACTCCTCAAGCCTGTCATCCATCAGTAATGTTACTACGACTCCTCAAGCCTGTCATCCATCAGTAATGTTACTACGACTCCTCAAGCCTGTCATTCATCAGTAATGTTACTACGACTCCTCAAGCCTGTCATTCATCAGTAATGTTACTACGACTCCTCAAGCCTGTCATCCATCAGTAATGTTACTACGACTCCTCAAGCCTGTCATTCATCAGTAATGTTACTACGACTCCTCAAGCCTGTCATCCATCAGTAATGTTACTACGACTCCTCAAGCCTGTCATTCATCAGTAATGTTACTACGACTCCTCAAGCCTGTCATTCATCAGTAATGTTACTACGACTCCTCAAGCCTGTCATTCATCAGTAATGTTACTACGACTCCTCAAGCCTGTCATTCATCAGTAATGTTACTACGACTCCTCAAGCCTGTCATTCATCAGTAATGAATGGCGTGGTATAAGAAGACAATATTAAAAAATGCAAGAAAATTAAGAATACAATATTTATGCTACTTTTTGATTACATTTTTTGTGTGTGGATAGGCAGGCAGGAGGGTTACTCAGTATACACAATATTGAAGTTCTTGCGAGGCAAGAACAAGTATAACATTTGAGGTTTACGGCTCATGCTCTGTGATAATATGGAAAATTGGTTTACTGAGAATTATGCAATATATATATATATATATATATATATATATATATATATATATATATATATATATATATATATATATATATATATATATATATATAATGTAATGTTTTTCCCTTGTAAATTGATGTGCATATGATATTTATATTGTAAATTATTTATTAAAGAAAAAACATATATACAGGAACCTCACAGTACCACACCAGATACTAGTGCGAAAGCTGGAGATGCAGGCAGGAGTGAAAGGGAAGGTGCTCCATTGGATAAAGGAGTACCTAAGTAACAGAAGACAACGAGCAACTGTGAGGGGTGAGGCCTCAGATTGGCGAGGCGTCAGCAGTGGAGTCCTGCAGGGTTCAGTCCTTGGACCTATACTATTTCCCATAAATGTAAATGATCGAGAACTTTTGGTAGATCATTTACATATCTGCCATTTACATTTACACAAGATCATTTATACAACACCAGATGATATATCTGGTAGATCTATCAATGAGAGAATCTACCAGATAATCTCAGTGTTTCCTGATGATGCAAAAATTATGAGGAGGATTAAGACGGAGGCGGATAGTAGGAGGTTACAAGATGACCTAGACAGACTGAATGAATGGTCCAACAAATAGCTACTAAAGTTCAACCCGAGTAAATGTAAGGTAATAAAACTGGACAGTGGAAACAGGAGGCCAGACACAGGATACAGAATGGGAGATGAAATCCTTCATTAAACGGACAGAGAGAAAGATCTAGGAGTTGATATCACACCCAACCTGTCTCCTGAAGCCCACATCAAAATAATAACATCTGCGGCGTATGCAAGGCTGGCTAACATCAGAACTGCCTTCAGGAACCTGTGCAAGGAATCATTCAGATCCTTGTATACCACATATGTAAGACCAATCCTGGAGTATGCGGCCCCAGCATGGAGCCCGTACCTTGTCAAGCACAAGACGAAGCTGGAAAAAGTTCAGAGGTATGCCACTAGGCTAGTCCCAGAACTAAGAGGCATGAGTTACGCATACAGGCTGCGTGAAATGCAACTCACGACACTGGAAGACAGAAGAGTAAGGGGAGACATGATCATTACCTATAAAATTCTCATAGGAATTGACAGAGTAGAGAAATTTAAACATTTTAACACGGGTGGAACGCGAACAAGGGGAGAGGTGGAAACTGAGTACCCAAATGAGCCACAGGGACGTTAGGAAGAACTTTTTCAGTGTCAGAGTAGTTAACAGGTGGAATGCATTAGGCAGCGATGTGGTGAAGGCTGACGCCATACACAGTTTCAAATATAGATATGACAGAGCCCAGTAGGCTCAGGCATCTGTACACCAGTTGACTGACAGTTGAGAGGCGGGACCAAAGAACCAGAGCTCAACCCCCGCAAGCACAACTAGGTGAATCACATACATATGTGTTTATTATTTGGCCTTGATTATTTGTCTGTAGAACAAATTATGGAATGTTTGATGTACTGATGTTCATGTTTTATACCTATTAAATATCATCGCTAGGCTTCGGCTTTGGCCGACCAGATTTTTTTTATACTACACAAGTCCTTAACAGCAAGTTGGGAGTCAATGCCACAGTCCTGACAGATAACTACAGGTGACTGTGATGACCTCTAAGCTTCACACAGTAAACCTGTCCTCTCAAATAATACATCGAATTTTGGAGCTATAATGTCCAACGGACAAAATAAGGATACCTGTGAAAAGTAGCAGCTCTCAAACACCACTTTTTCTGTGTGGGTCTGTTAAGTGGGGTTTAGGTCGGTTTAGTAGCTCTTATTTTGTCCGTTGTGGCAACTCAAGAGGACCACACACAGCCAGTTTGTATGCTTGACACTCTACAAACACGATTTAACACTAACATGAATGTGATCATAAATTTTTCAGAGCATCGGATTCGTGTACCCAGGCGAGGTGGGCACTCCGGCCCGGGACTCAGAAATAATTCTGATGCTTGTTGGCGAGTGGAACCCTCTACTTGTCTCGTTTCGCTGCCAGATAAATAATAATAGCCTAGCACTGATATTCCAAATGATAAATTATATATTTACTTTATTTTGTTTTATTTTCAAAATTTTATTTTTAAATATTTAAAAAATAGAATAAAATAAAACCTTATTTAAAAAATTTCAAGACCATTATTCGTTTATACAAAAACAAGAGAGTAAAAATAGCCCACACTGATTTTTACAAGTTATACATTTTATGTATTACACTAAACAACGTTGTTCAATATGACATGATTATGAATAAATGATAACAATGAAATCAATAGTTATTATTTCAATTCCAACAATTGAAATTGAAATATGTTTGCTGAGGGATAAATATACACAAATGGATGAGGTAACTCAAGCTATTCTCACCCCGCACACAGCCTGTTCATATACATTTACACACCCGAAACAATCAACATGTTACTGAACATTCTGATTGATAAACATATACATATATTTTTGTACACATGCATTATTATACCAAATGTACACACAAATATTTTTATTACTAAGTCCATAGACATTAGCAGCAATAAAGAGGCTACACTAGTCACGAAAAGGTTACAATCTTGGTGCAAAATTCTTATATCTCTCCAGAGTATCTTCACTTTCCATTGTGACACATCCAGGCTATTTGTTCATAAACAGTCCTAATCTCAGTACAGGTATTTCTATATACATTAATCAGCGGGCGCTCAAGAACATAATGGGCGAGGATGTGAGACCTTAACCTACCACACAGCTTACATTTGGTTTCATTATCATTAACACCTGTTCCATATCCCCAGTAATATTTGTTCCTGAGTCTAAGTCGCATGTGTAGTCACTCCAAGAATTTTTTATTTTGCTGTAAGTGAAATCGGTGTTTTAACTCACATACATGCAGTGATGAAGAGCTTAACTTCTCTCATATATTATACCTCTCCTCACATGTTAATATATACCTTATAAAAGATAGGAGACAACATCTACCGAAAACTAGAAGATTCAGATGTTTATGAAGCTTCTATTTAAGCCGTAAATTGCATAACATAATTCTTACAATTAG